AAGGTGGAACTGTCCCTTTACATGTGCTGTGGACTTATTGCATACCACAGCCCACCCCCCACACGCACTCATACACTCACTCATGTACATCCATTTCCTCTAAACCTCCATCATTAAATCTCTATCATCGTTAATATGCTCCATCCTCTTTGCCATCTCACCACACCAGATAGACAAATTAGGGCCTTGATCTTGAACAGTCCAGCAGGGACCAGGGGCCTGGGAGACAGCTGTGCAGCTTCTGCTGACACATGTTTAAAAATTCATGGCCCAGAAAACATGCAGACAGGGCTGTGGCAAGCAGAGGGTTTTACTGAAGCCATTCTCCGGCAGCAGAAATATTCATAACCACTAAACAAACTATGTGGGCAGCAAAATTCCTGCGTGCCCACACAAAGGGAAAGCACAGGAATGGAATGATTTCCCATAAAACAAGTTATGCATATATCCATGAGAACTTTGATCCTGAAAAAAGCTGAATGTTTTTCTTATATTTAAACACATCTACTCTACATTTGTCTTCTGTTTAACATCAATATGAGGCTATAAAACAGGACTTATCACCTAAAACACTGCAGAACAACGAGCACATGTAACATCTGGCATTCCAAACTCACATGAAAGGAAACACACAGCTGAAAGCATTTTTAAAATTTTCCTTCTTTTATTGGATACCAGTGTTTGCCTTGTATATGGATATGGTTGTTTTCATTTTTTTTAATCCTTCACAGTTAATCCAGGTGGCACATACAACTGGTTAAGTCAATTTTGAACTGCAGTTTGGATTTATTTTTAACATGCTCAGGCAGGGTTGTTCACAACAGATGACATGAATGAGCAGAGGAGGTGACAGTCAGGGTGGTGCACACAGCAATGCCTCCAAAAAGGTTTTTGTTTTGTTTTTTTTAAATTTTTTAAAAAAAAACAAAAAAAAAAACAAATTCAGTCAGTCAAGGCAGATAAAGCGCATTTACATCTGTTGTTAAAAATAACCAAGCTTGGCATAACATCAAATATTTAAAGGTATACTATGCAGGAAGTATCAGTTATTGTTTGAAAACATTGTCACAATTGAAAGTAAAAGCCAACCCAATTCTTGTTCACTATATTTGTGGTTATATTTGGCGCTGTGTCGGAGCTTCCTCTTGGAGGCGTGCTGCTTATGGTCTGGCACCTGGTCGCTACCTTTACAGTCCTGACCTCACCAAACACAACAGAATAAGAATAAAATACAGGCAGAGGGCAGTGTTTCTGTGGATAAACACATCACCACACACTTCCTATGAGTTTATACACTGTTTTTTCCTTTTTTGGGGGGATCCTGCCTAGTATACCTTTAAATATGTAAGAAAGTTGAGCCCTCTGGATCGGTACTTATCAAAAGAGGGTATTGTATTTTTTACTTTATTTACTGCAACACCACAGCCAAATTCGGTAATATTAATCAGTGGATCATAGCGTAACTTGAAGAATATTTAAAATAATACTTCACCCCCAAATGACCTTTTTTACATCAATTACTTACTCCAAAACTTTTCTCACATGCCTCAATGGTGGGCAAAGAATCCAAAAACGGAATTTGATGACTTGGAGTAAAAGGGGACTGTGTTTAACAACAGCAAAACTTTATCAAAACATCCATTTTAAAGCTCTCACACAACTTAAACAGTATAATTAAAGTCTCATTTATCCAGTCATATCTTCAGTGTTTACCAAACACATGTATTTTTGCTAAAATATCACTGTTTAAAACACACTTCTGTTTTTCTCACATGCCACTGTGGAGGCGTGTGAGAAAAATAAAGTTTTCTTCCCAAATTAAACACAACACGGGGTGAGTAACTGATATACAAGTGTCCATTTAGGGGTGAAGGACTCCTTTAATCTTTAACTTTTTGTGTGGGATTTAAAGTTTTTTTAAAGCCACTATGTGTAGAATCCAAAAAGTGCTCCCCATAGAAATTAAAGAAAAAGACAGCAATGTACACCACTGTCCCTCTACCAAGTCGCCTCAAGAAGACTGTATGTATGGGCTGAGAGCAACACATGGCCTGCATTAATATTCACTCAGTGTCTAATTTCTTTTAAGACAAAAACTTTAGAATGATTCCAAGATAAAATCACGTAACAATCCTTCACATTCATATTAAAGTTGTCATTTCATTTGTGCCACAGCGTGTCTTCACTTTATAGGTGAAGACTTCTCTACATCTGAGACCACATCTGTACAGAATTAATCCCACACTAAGACTTCAGCATGACCAACTTCCTGTTTTCCCAGCAAACAGTAGAAGACATTGTCATCATGAGGTGAAAGGCGGCTACAGAACTAATCATTTGACACAGTGGCAGGTTTCATATTGATCATCATGCAACCGTCTTGCTTAAGGACACTGCAGCTGATGATATGGCTGCTACAGGGATCAAACATGTGACCTTTCGATGACTCTAAGCAATTAGTCACCCTGCAGCCACACATACTTTAGTTTGATAAATGTGACCAGTTGGCTCGAGACAGGAAATGAAATGGACAACAGTGCTGCATATTGTGTACCTGCCATGCTCTATTTGGTACTGTCTGATTGCACTGTTTTTTCAGTCTCATGTTAACGCTGGCTGCTTTAAAGAAATGGTCTGACATTATGATTTCCATATCTGTATGCTATCTAAATGGCTGGAAACAGGGAGACAGCTCACTCTGACTTCATATGTTCCAAAGTTAATTACGGTGTCAGTAAGGATTGATTAGACTCCCAGGGTGGCTATGAGCTTGCAGACAGATTCTTCTCCTGAAATAAATCAGTGAGTCAAAAACTTTAATGTGGATTCCAAGTAAAACTATTTGGGAGTGAAACTATCTAAGATATGACATGATAATCAGTGAGCTTTGAAAGTGCTGGTAGGTGAGCTCTTCCCCCAGTTTCCAGTCTTTCTGCTAAGATATGCTAACTGTAGCTACATACTTACCAAATAGACAGGATCTGAGATGTGAAGATTGATAACATTCATGTTTCTACCTGGTATCAACATGCATCTTGGGCGATCCGAGAGTGGACACAAGTGGACAGCTCTATGTCTGTCTGTTCTCACCTGTCACTTGCGGTCCATTCATTCCACATATTCAGTCTCAGGCAGGGAGGTGTGGACCCACTTTTGGACCAGGACCCACCAGTTGGGAACCACTGATCTACCAGTTAGCCCTGACACTATGTGTGCGGGCTAACTGTTAGGAGTGATGCTAACAGTTATTAACAGATTAATGACAGAGTCAAGCTATTTCCTGGTTGGAGTAAGTTTGTTGGGACTGTTTAACAACTGCTGCTGTGTTAGCTTGTGCTTAGCGGGCAGATATTGAACTGACCGAAGAGGAGATGCTCTGGAGACATTCCTTCAGCTCTGCATTTGTGTAACAGCAGCAGCAGAAAGTTTTCTGATCTGTCCAGGGGAGTCAGATAAACAAGAACGTCAGCTAAGTAGGCAGTCCTCCAATGTGGCCCAGAACACATATGGCCATATGTGGCCTAGACCACCTATGAATATAGTCTGAGCGATTGGGACTCAATAATGTGATGCTAACGGTTATTAACGGATTTAACGACAGACTCGAGCTGTTTCGTTGCTGGTGTGTGTCAGTGTGGCCCAGGTCACATCAGCATACAAGTTACTAAAACAATATGGCCATATGCGGCCCAGGCCTGACCCCAGAATGTAGTCTGAGTGACTGGGTCTCAAGATGCACTGAGGACGCATTCAGTTCATTCACCCCTGTATTAAGAGCTATCAATTTGATTCAATCACCCAAGATGCATGTTAATACCAGGTGTAAATATGGTCTAGCTCTTAGCAAGAAAGCCAATAAATTCATATCTCAAAATGTCAAACTATTCCTATAAATCTTCTGAAATTTAATACTATCAGTATGTGATCAATTACGGATGTGATTTTAAAAGTGTAGTGCACAAGCACACACTTGGTGTGTTCAGCTCCCTTGATATGAAACCTGTGATTGGAATGTAAAAAAATTATTGATGAGATGCTGCCCTCATTGGTTACAGAGATAATATTGCTCTTAAATGTTGAATGACACTGTATCAATAAGAAAAGCTATTAACAATGTATGTCACCTCAGAGTTTTGAACATCAACCATAGACTGTATAAAAGAAGTTGGCGTAGCCACCGTGACTTCATCCATTGGTTTGTGGACTACTGTTTTGAAGCCTTGAGTTTGGCATTTTGGCCGTCGCCATCTTGACTTTTTGGAGCCAGAGGCAACCATAGGTAGACGCAAGGGTGGTGCTGGGAAGGCCAAGAATTGCTACACCTGATTGTCAAGAAAGAGGCGTGGGAACGACTTGTCAGTCACAAGGTAGCCATGTCCTAAAGCATACCCTGCTTCATCGTCCATTTTACTCTTATGGGACCTTAATTTACAAAATGAACATCACGCTGTATTGGAGAAGACTTGAAACTCTTGGTTGAGACCATTAACTTTTTAGAAAAATGTTTACTGAGGTAATAAATCAAGTGAGTAGTAGGGTCATTTTCTTGGACTACAACACTCTGGGTAGTGACCGAAAGAATGACATCATGGATACAAGTGGCTGGAATGAGTTTCCTCCGTGGGGTGGCTGGGCTCAGCCTTAGAGATAGGGTGAGGAGCTCGGACATCCGGGGGGAGCCGCTGCTTTTTCGGGTCAAAAGGTCAGTTGAGGTGGTTCGGGCATCTGATCAGGTCTGGAGTGCTTTGCTTGGCCTGCTGCCCCTGTGACCTGGCCCCGGATAAGCAGATAAAAATGGATGGATGGACTGTACAACCTGATTTTGCAAACAGTGGAGTTGCCCCCAGGTTAAGGCACTTCCTCTTCGGCTTCAGTTTTTAGACCCGGTGTCTATGTTTACTTCTCTTATACAGTCTACGATATCAAGTTACATGTTGCACACAATATGTTGTGCAGTAAGCTGTGCAGGTTGTAGCAGGAAGAGCTCAGTGTCAGAGATGTTTTCTGTTGGCAACAACTGCAGTTTATTTGGACCAGAAGTAGCTTTTGAACAACTAGACTTTTAAAGAATGCTTGGCGATCTAAAACTAATTGGCCATTACAGTAATAGACCAATATTTACATGACAAATTCATCTCCCTTTTAATAAGAAAATCTCAGCTCCTTTAATCACTCAGATAGGATGGAATAAAGGCATGAATCAGAATGTAATGGAAATAGATAAACAAATACAACCTGTGTACCAAAAGCACATACATGTTTAAAAAATCACCATGCTTACTCAAAATTCTCACTATGTCACATTTCACTCATTCACAATACTGGACAGGAGAGACAAATAAAAAGGTGCAAATAAGACACATCACAATAAGTAAAACAAATTGGTCCAAGTGTTCATCAAGTTCGAGTCCTGGAGAGCAACATGTGCATTTAGACTTGAAATGATTAGACTTTGCTTCACTTCATGAACTTGGTCCAGCAGTGTGCAGCTCTCTTTGATGTAATATGATGTCAGGGGTCACTATGACATATTGATTGATCTGCAGTGTGGCCAAGAAAGTCAGCGAGAACTATCCCTCGTTTGAATGATCCTTTGTGCCTTAATACATCCAAAAAGGCACTGGACCTTATTCAGTTTAACAGACAAGGAGTACAAATAAAAGCATAAAGCACTAAACTATCGACATGTGTTCTGTACCTTGAGTTCGAGGTTGTTTTTTTTTTTTTTTTGTGGTGCACTCCATGCACTTTCCATGCAGAGTTATCCTTTGTTGCGGCATTGACAATATGGCACGGTCACATTTATCACTCTTAAATAACATATTTTAAAGAAAGATACAATTTCAAATCAAGTTTTCCATCTGCAAGGCTTGCAAGTACAAAAACAAAGAAAAAAAACAACAACTGTCGTGTCTGTCGTGTTGGCTTCTACTTGAGCGAGTTGTTTTTCCCTTGTGCAAAAAAAAAAAAAAAAATCACTGTAATGAACATACACAGGACAGAGGCTCAGTTCTTCCTGTACTTGGATGCAAAATGATAACTGCAAGAACAAAAATAATAATTTACCCTACCAGCTGTCCAGTATCTAAGAAAACAAAAATGAAACCATTAAAATGTCACTTTGTGACATCAAGTTTTTTTTCTGTCACTAACTCTCTTTAAATCAGTGTCTCGCCATTTGAGAGCACAAGGACAGTGTGAGAGCAGCTATCAAAGAGACCACTGTTCCTTTGGCTTGGCACTTGGCAAGTATAGTACAGCGACTAAGAGATGACTTGGTAACTGCCCCTCTAAAGAAGCAGTTCAGTTGTACCCAAGGAGTCTGCTTGATAGTGAATCATACCAAATTCTTTGCCTAAAGAATGCAGCGTGAAGTATAAGCCTAATTGTTTCATAAACTTTATATCTGTTTACTTCCTATCAAATCTAAAATAACGGTACCTTCACCTCCGACATGAGTGATTACAGTTCTTTTTCATTCCTAAATTAGTGGCTTAGCTTTTTACAGTTAGCTTTGTACATATTGCTAAAAGTATTTTTCATTTATTTAAGGTTATCCTTAGATTGTATATAAAGATGGAGAATATGACAGCTCTCAAAAGGTGAAGCTGAAACATCTCAATCACCCACTGGTCACAAACTTTGCCCCCGCCATGTTAGTGGATGGGACATGTTTTTGACAATTTTTTTCCAAAGATGGTTTCTGTTATTTAAGGTAGTTGTTGTCACTTAAGCAATATCACACGAAAAGGAGTGATGTTGTACTGTATATCATCACGGCTGTGATTTGGTCAAAGGCTTGAGGCCGCAGGCAGATTTAAAAAGTCCTGGGTTCCAGTGGCCATTGGCCTTTTAAATGATGGATGATTTTTCAAGCACCGAGTGTAAAAAAGAGCAACAGCGACCTAACGTTAGCTAAGTGCCAAAAATCAGGCTACATTGGTGCTACATTGACTGACTAGCTAATGGCGCTCACAGCTATCAAAGACACTGAGGTGGTTACGAAATAATCGATAACGTATATAAAATGGTTGACCATTATTGACCAATAATATTACCAATATGTATGTACAAAACATGGTTAGGTTAACAAGGTTAGAGGCAAAATTAATAACATTACGGTAGAATTGAAAGACGACACTTTACAAAGTTAGCTTTGTAACTTTCAAATTGTTGAAATGATTTAGTTTGTTTTGTGTATTGTGTTGTTAACGTTTTAGTAGACTACCATTATTTTCTGCAAAAATAACATCTCAGTGAAGATCGGGATGAAGATAATGTTACTGTACATTTTACTGAAATCATATTTTATGATTTTATGTCACAAATAAATTCAATGAACTGAATTGAAGTAGTTATGTTTGTCACTCAGTGTTGCACCAACGTTAGCTTGATTTTCAAAGATAAGCTAACGTAAGCCATAAGCCATCTTACAAAAGCCAGCAGTAAAGCTCTATAGATATGAGCAACCTCGCCGTTAACTTCGTCACTTTCTTTGTTCCAGTAACCAGTTTAGCTAACGTTAAGTCAATCACTGTAGCTCCAATGTTTACCTGATTTCCAAAGCTTAGCTAACGTTAGTGTTAGAGCTAGGGCTAGGGTTCCTTTTTTTTTTTTTTTTTTAAAATACAGTCAGTGCTTGGAAGAGCTGCCAAATATATTAAATTAATGGACATACACTGTCTTGTTAAAGTGAGCAGTAAAGCTCCATAGAGCTGACATAATCTGATTTTAGTAGATAGTTAGGCTAGCTGACTGGCTAACCATGCTAAAAACTGCTGTGATTATCAAAATGATCAATAACGCTATGTACAAACACAAACGGTAAATACTATTAATAATATGTACAAGTTAGCTGTGAAAAAAGTAATTAATTTAGAAATTAAACAGCACTGCGATCACTAAGATCAGAGGCTAAGAAATGTCGATCTGACAGGAAGTAAAAAGACATGAAGTTCGTAAAACAGATACGTGACACTACATTGTGTAGTAGAGGATACTCTGTCGGTGATGATGTCCACTTCGAGGTGAGGTACCTATGTGTGAGGTCTTTTTTGCAGCAAATGTTCATTTCTGATTACACATACGTTGTCAACGCTTTATCCCTTCTTTTCATGGCCTCTGATGAACCTAAAAAAGAACTCACATTAATCCTGAAAATCACATTTGGCAAAAACAATACGTGGACGCCCGGGTGTACTCATTTTCCCTTTTCACTGAAGGGTTCAAATGCAACTTGGCTAAACATTCTAGGCTATATAGTACTTAAGACTCCATCTCTAATGGCTCCCGCTTTGAACTAAAGCTCGGTTTGGCACCAGAGAATGCCAATCAAGCACTCGGTTGAAGAAAAGCAGAGAGAGAAAAATCCTTTCATACACATACCAGCCAGCTTTCACTCTCCTTCTCCCCCCTGCCAGTCTTTTTTTTTCCTCCATTAAATTTCAGCCCTATTCAAGCTACTAGGTACCAGGATACCATTATCTCTCCCTTGTTCCTCCCATTTCGCAAGTCTTTCAGTGCCTTTTTTTATTCCCCCTGGTCCTCCACTCCTTCTGTCTGTGTTTGACAAAGACCCAGAGGGGGGTTTGGTCCAGCTGCCCCATATGTCAGTCAGATACAGTAGTCAGCTTACAAAAAAACAGAAAAAAAACCCATCCAGCCGCACACATTTTCACCCTTATTAGTCCCAGCTGAGGCTTTCCACAAACAAACATCCATGCACACACAATTTCAGAAACAAGGGGAGGAGATATGGCGAGTTTTGGGAATGTGTGTGTGTGTGTGTGTGTGTGTGTGTGTGTGTGTGTGTGTGTTTGGCTACATGTGTTAGTGTGTATTTTGTCCCTGATGCTGCTGGTCTGGGTGGAGGACATTCTTATGATAATTAGGGATTAGCTTGGGGGGCAGCAGGAGTGTGTATGGACACAGATGCAGTGCCAAAGTTCCTCAGAGGAAATAAGCGCACCCATTTTTTGTCATGGCGACAACTTCCTGCCACTTCACAATCCCAATGTCTTCATCTGCTTCCTGTAGCCCACTAAACTTCAACTGACCGCTGTCGCTTTACTCATCGAGAAGCTCTAACTCCCTCCTTCCTGTGGGGAGCAGCGTCCCACTCTCATGCGCAGCGTGCCACTTTTGTGCAGGTGCCAAAGCTGCACAAACTCCTCAGGCATGGCGTGAAACCACTTGTAGGGCAGGATGTTGTCGTAGTAATGGTGGCTGACTGGCTGCTCGTCCAGGCCGACGGAAAATGGCCAGAAGCCGTAGGCCGTCACTTCCTCGCACAGCCCCAGGGCCAAGCTGATCAGGAAGAGCCCCGTGGAGAGGCGTTTGGCGTGCACGCTGCGGGCCTTCCAGAATTTTCCCACCGTGCGCAGGAACTCCGGGTTGGCAAAGAGCATGGTGAGGTTGGAGGACGTGTCCGCAAGGGCGTAATACGCCCGCAGTGACGGGTCGGTGCCAGGCTTCATGGAGAACGCCGGCATGTAGATGTAGCTGGAGCCGTAGACCTTCATACTGTCCACAAAAGCTTTTCTGGACCACAGAAGGTTCTGAAATCTGAGGGACAGAGTGATAAAGAGAAAGAGCGGAGTTATTCTAAAGGTTGAGTCATGACCTGATGACTGGTTGACTCATCTCTATAACTGTCTGCTCCCTCTTCCTTTTCTGCCCGTCTACAAAGGAAATGAGTATCCTGTGTTGTCACATGCAGCAACACAATGGGTGATGTTTGCTCTTTACACACTGACCCAGGACTAAATACAGCAATAAATCACTTGGCAAAGCGGATGTTTTACAGTTTAGAGTGAACAGGCAGAGAGGAAATTCTTCTGTTTCATTGGCTTCATTCATTTTATTTTATTTTACCCTTTTTAAATCCTGTTTGTGTGTATTCATGGAAACAAAATAGGGTCAAAAATACTGACCATATCTGAATGTGTAAAAACATTTCATAAGAATAAATTCAAATGTGTTAAAATGTTTTGAGTCCACTCACAAGACTATGCTCCCATGAATATATATTTAATGTAATTAATGCCAAGGTGATATTCCCACACATTTTCATGTACAAAATAAAATTTAAAAAAACTTTTCCACGACTTTTCAAGGGCCCATAACAAAATTTCCATGACCATTCAGAACATGACATGAACAGAACTGTATATTTTACTCCAAATGTTGAATGTGTATTATTATAGGTGCTCTATGGACACAGAGCAGTAGAGCTCCCACAGTGGGGGAGTGAAAGCCGACAGTTTGGTTGGCCTGTTGGTTAGTGTGTTAGAAAAAAATGTTGCTCTGTACCCTCAATCAACCACATCCTACTTTCAAAGCAGTTAAAACTAGACCAAAGGGTGCACTGGTGACAATTAAATGCACTTGGCTGCCTGTGTAGATTGCTCCAGCTCCAAAATTGTGGTGCAATTTAAAAGTCATACTCATTCAATGGTATTGAAACTTTGGGATTCATGACCCTAAGTGTTCAATCACACTGTCACATTACTCGTGTAATGCCTCACCTGCCTGGCGTTATTTGAACACATCAAATTCATAGGGTGCTTTCAGACCTCAGGCTCATGTTTAACCCAAACAATGTGTCGTGTGACTGCAGTTGGTTCGGATCGAGGTCTGAACACGTTCTCACTACAAACGAAATGCACCAGAGTTCGTTTGTAACCGGACCACCTCTTAAAGAAGGTCTCGGTCCGGTTGTTTTGGTGCGCACCTGAGTGTGATTGCTGTGTTCACACCTGCCCAAATGAAAAGGACTTAGGGGGCAATTGGACTTGAGTTTGATTGAACCAAACCAAACAGGGCAGGTGTGAAAGCACCCTGAGTTTTCAAAATCTCTGCACAAGTAAACAGATTCGGACTGATCACCTTTTCTCTATGATGCTGGGGTTGGCTGTAACCAGGTGTGTTCTGGTTCCAACATCCTCCACATATTCCTTTGAAAGCGGTGGAAGGTTGCACCTGAAAGAACAAAACACATGATATATTTAACATTTCACACACACTCCACATAAACGTTGTATTGAGAGTTGTTAGTTACTCAAGCACTTAAAAAACAGAGTGCTGCAGGGATGAAGTTTATTCGTTTGTACTTTACCCAATGGGATTTTCCTGTCGGATTTTAGATTATTACAGAAAATAAGATCTGCTGCAAACAAAAGTTTTTAATACTACAAGTTTTGTTCGGCGAGATAATCTTCACAAATGAGCACCACTTTTGTTTTTTTAAGCATAATTGCAATCGGCAAAGTAAAAAGCAAACGTTAGACTATAAACAAACTACACTACAGCTGCATGACTTCCAACTTTGCCACCACAACAAGGCTGTAGTGCTGTGTTCAACATGATGACGGTCTGAAGTCTCATTTAGCCACTTGATAGCGAGCATCTGTTTTAAGACACAAATGCTTTAACATCCATGCGGGGTATTAACTGAGGTATTGCAAATCGTAGAACAAAACTTTTAAGTCTCTTAATCTTGTGTTGACCACAGACCTTATTTTAGGCATCTACCCAAAAACCCAATAAAAAAACCCACTGACTTTGAGACGAGGGAACTGGGAGTGCTATAAACAGTTTTAGGACTCATTCCTGCAGCACTCATTACCCTGATGATTAGATCTGATTATGATAGCAACATGACCTGCCCACATGGATGTGTGTGTGCGTTTTTGCAATGAAAACAGCATGTCAAAGAGTTTTAATTATGTGAAAAGAAATGGAGGCTAATGAATATATTACAGGCAGCAACAGCAGAAGAGACATTAGAAGTGGAATGACATGGCTGAGAAGTAGTTGCACAACAAAGCTGGCAGAATGGCTGCCATCATTCAAATCTTTGACATATTCCTTCTGGAACAACCAGACATGTTCCAGAAGGAATATGATCTGAAATCAGGGAGAACTTACAACGTCAGCAAACAATATTACATGTTCCCCTGACATTAGCATGTAGCTACATGTAGCAGGGTCATCAACTATGGGCCATTTTGGCCTGGAAACCTTTAGAATATCTAACACACATTTAGAGAAATGTATTCATACAATATTTTCCGCGATAAAGCCTGAGAGTGGGATTGTCATTTCCATCTCCATATATCTTTTCTATCACATTAAACAAAGTGATGGAAATGACTGTAGATGAAAAAAATCCCTTGATATATTAGCTTGCTAATGTCCGTTTTAGTGTTAGTAATGTATATACAGTATATACACACAATATGGAAGATAAATGGCAAATGGACCTGCACTTGCATAGCTAGGGTTGGGTCGGTTCTCGGTAATACCAATTCGGTTTGGTACTCCATCTTGGACCGGGGATTTTTTTTGTTTTGTTTTTTTTTTTTGTTTTTTTTTTTTGAGACCGACCAGGCCGCATACTCAGGCGGAACGTACGCGGAGCGGACTCCGCGGAGGTCCGCCCGGTAAAAGTGGACATCCGCAAGCCCGTGCGCACAAAGCACAACCGCGCGGACTCCGCTCCGCGCACCAGTGTCGCACAAAAGATTGTTCGGCATGTATTTTTCACATCCCGGGGATTTTTCACGGACATTTTTACACGGAGTCTGCTCTGCTTATAGTACGCCCGAGTCTGTGGGCACCTGTGTCTGCCTCTTCGCCAAGCGCACAGCGAGCAGGAGAGAGAGGGGGGTGGGGGTGGGACTGAGCTAGGGGGGTGCGAGTACGCATGCGCCGAGGCCTCTACTGTAGCCTGGAGTTTGTTTAATAGTGACGGGGAGTCGATAATGGCGGACAATTTAGTCTCGAAGAAATCAAAGAATGCGCCACTATGACAACACTTTGGCTTTGAGCCAGACGAAGGAGGCAACCTTTGTTCGCACTGATTGAGTAAGCTGCAAAATTTATTTGTAAGGAATAAAAGAAACAATTTATTACTGTCACTCTGTTGTCCTATGGTCGTTTTTTATTTTAAATGAGTCAATTGCGCCCCCAAGTGGCGAAAATCCGGTATTACCGACTTGATGCGTTTTTTTTTTTTTTTAAAAAACAGACCTTTTTTTTCTCCTCATACCGACCTAACCCTATGCATAGCACCTTCCTAGTCTTACAAGCACTCAAAGCGCTCAACACTACATGCCACATTCACCCATTTACACACACGTTGACGCACACTGGTGGCCGAGGCTACCATACAAGGTGCCACCTGTTACTCAGCTTAAACGCACTCACACACCAATTTGGGGTTCAGTATCTTGCCCAAGGATACTTCAACATGCCGACTGGAGGAGCCAGAGAGCAAAACACTGATCTTCCGATTGGCTGATGACCCACTCTACCTCCTGATATTCTTGATTTAACATAAAACTGACCCTGATTTCCTCTTATTCCAGTTCCCTCCATGGAGCCAACTATCTGGCCATGTGCTTTTTACAGTGTGGTGGAAATAACAGCAACCCCAAGAGACAGGTATTCTTTCAATGAAAAAAAGGCATAAAATACTATTATAGCTTACAACACACAAATACACATTTCATTAAAATGTGTATTTGTGTCATTTGTAATTAAAGTTAATATTAAATCAATATCAGACTCAAAATTATGCAGGGTTCAATGTCCAAAATCTGGCTCAGGGACAAAGGAAATACAGTTAAATTAAAATTATCATGCAACGTTACCTCCTGCACGTCTCATACGTGGTTTAACACATCAGAGCTGTTTATGTTCAGCAGACAGAGCAAATACAGGAATGCTGGAAAAGGACACTTTGTTTCTGTGAATACTGAAAATGCCTTTGTGTCCTTGCTGTGTCAAGTTTCCTCCCTCAGGGTTTATCAGTCCTACTTTTCTTTCAAACTTTTGATAAGCTCCGGCTTCAGTTTAGGTTCAGCTGTCTCAGTGCAGCTCTTGGGATACTCTCACTTTAAACTTTCATTTGCCTGGTGATCTCCAGTCAGTTAAATCTGGTTGCCTGAAGTGCTACTCTAGATTAATGAGTTCAAGGGGCCTGAAATTGTTGGGTCACAGTTTGGCAGAAATCTGTATCAATGGCGACAAGACATTTTCTTACTTCCAGATGGCGAAGCTTACAGTGACGTGGGCTGGCTGGTAAAATTACCTTTTTCAAACAGACTCAACTTATCAAACATGTGAAGCCAAAATAGAAGGCTGTGTTACCAGATGGGTTGGGGCAAGGCGAACTCACATAACATGTTTTTTTCTTATCAAGTGTGCCATCAGTGCGTCCAAACAACTATACGGGGCTAATTTTGCCATTTGAGGACACAATTTCTCACACTTTGTACCAAAGATGTGTTCAGGGCCCAGCTGTTCAAAAAGTTTAATCTGGATCACCTAGTCCATCTCACTTTTGCACTGTTTTTCAAAGCAACTTTGGACTGGATCACCCTTAACATCACCAAATCCAGATAACTAGTGCAGGCTACTAGCCAGAGTTCCTGGATATTTTTCCAGCAGCTGTGCAGAAGTGTGTGAGATTTAAGGCCCGTTTTCACTGAAGAAGTTCCTGGCACTATTTGGGGGGCAGGAACTACTACAGGAACGTCCTCTCGCTCGGCCCTCTCAAACGCTGTGTCTCCACTGAAAGAGCGGAGTAGGAGGAAGGTTCCTATAAAGTTACCGGGCTCTGGATGTGATGTAATCGTTGCGCGACCATTTTGACCAGGGCGACGTAGGGGCATAGGGACACCGTTAGCTGTTAGCTGATAGCGGTGTCTGTAATAACTCACTATACTCACAAAGTGGCCCGTGAAAAAAATATTTTTTCCAGCGGATGTCTTAGTTACAACATAATTGAGCTAACTGGAGTAGTTTCATGTCGTATCCGACAACGGGAGGCTTTTAACAGATTACTGAGTTTGTTTACATGGCGGTGGAAGCTATGAACGAGCTAACCCTCATCTGCTGAGTTTTAAAAATGCCGGCTATTTTGTTGCTTTCCGTTGACGTCACATTCCGCCTTGAGTATAACCAATCAAACCCCAAGCCCCAGCCAGGAGTTTTTCGGGGCCGTTCTGAGTACCTACTCCGAGGCAGGGGCTTGTTTAGCCCCTGTAAAAGTTCCAGAACTCTGTCCTTCGGGGGTGGTTCCTGCGGTGGAGACACGCACCAATGGCCCCGGCCCCGTAAAATTACCCCGAAGTTCCTGCGGTGGAGACGGGCCTTAAGATAATTACTGCATTTGCTGACGTGAGAAGGGCTTCAGGCACACATTTGCATGCAGTTGTGGGTGTCAAATTAGGTAATAGTGACTGTTCAGTGTGAGCTAATGTTTGTCAGAACTGCCAAACCAGCTAAGCTATTTTAGTAGCATGTAGAGAAATTGTGTCGCCTTGGGGTGGGCAATATGGCCCTCAAATAATATCATGATATTTCAGGGTATTTTTGAGATAGCAATATTCTTGATGATGTGACAAAGTTCAACAAAATAAAATCTACCACAAATGACACATTTAAACAGCTCCAAAATACAACAGGCGATTTCCTTCTTTTAGCAAAATCCTAAATGATTGAGTTGTTTTTTTCCACCTGGACCTTTATGCTCTGTCATTTCTCCTCTAATATCACGCTGTAACCTGTGACCGGCTGTTATGATACCAGAACTATTGCACGTTCACATATATGGGTTTTTTTGTCGAGTCGCAAGTGTCACGTAGGTTTATGACAAAATCACTTGACGACACAGACTCCCGTGTGCGCAGTCTGCGCGCGGCAAGAGAGAAGAGGGAGAGATGCTGTGCTGCTGCCGGAGGAGCCGCTGAATGAGTTCCCTCTGAGCGGTAACTTGCTAAAAGAGTCTGAGAAGTCCGGGGCTGTTCATAAAACATTCAGGACACCACACTTTATTCAACACTACTGAAGCTGCTCATCTCTTTGTAACCACTGTGGAGTCACTAATAATTTCACTTTCAGTCATGCTTGTTCTTGCCGTGGGTAACAGTATGACGTCAATATGTCAACAAGTCCAAATATCACGATATGAATTTTTCATATATTAAAAAATATACCTGTCTTATCGTGAACAAGATGATATGACACAACCCTAGTGTCACCTGTTTCGTGTCATCTCATTGACCTTAAAACTATTTGAATAACCATAGAACTCCAGGGAAGATGTTTTTCTGTAGGCTGACGCGGCAGTTAGCATCGCACTGATTCCCTCGTCAAAAAGCCTCTGGGATTTTTCCATTTAAATTTCGGATTATTGCTGAAATGAGCTCTGTGGCGAACAAACATTTATGATACTTAAAAGTTTTGTTCAGCAAGATAATCTTTACAAATGAACACCACTTCCATGTTTATTGAAGCCTTAATGCAGTTGCTAGAAGTAAAAAGCTTTTGGTTGCATGACCTTATGGTCACCACCACAACAAGGTTGCAAAGCTGTGTTTGGCGCAGCTCGGGCTCACTTAGCCACTTGTTAGCAACCTTTTTTAAGACACATAGAAGCATCAAAGTTCACAAGTGGTGTATATACTGACACATTATGTTGTCGAACATATCCTGAAAGTCTCTTCAGCTTGCGTTAAACACAGATCTAATTTCAGGCTAACCAAAAACCCACTGACTTTAAGATAAGGGAACCGAGAGTGGTAAAATGCATTCTCATATTTGGGTTTAAGGTCTCACTCTTGGGACACTCTAACAATCTGTGGCTGATAGATCAGATCAGAGGTGCAACTGTTTGAAACTACTTTTGACTGTGTCTTTGTACATTAATTTGTTCAGATATGGACAGTGAGTTGTTTTGTGAGGACAAAATCTTTTTGAACTGAACGGGTTTGCTCAATTTAAGAGTTTTATTTCATTTTTGGATCAAAGGTATCCCAATCCTACAGAAGAGTTTTGTCTGAATCACAAAGTCACCCTCAACCAGATCAGGAAAAGACAGCAAAGAAGTCTTAAAAGGTCCCAGAGAGCAGAATTTCTGGTTGACCGTATCTGCTAACATGAGGTCTGCTTTACATCACTGAGGGATCAGAGTGCTCTGGTTGTGCATTTCCTCAGCTCTCTTAAGACCTCAGAAAGGGTGTCGTCATACCCTGATTGGCCCAGAGGAGAAACGCATCAAGCTGCTCTCAGTTCCTACTCAGTAGTCAGTCCTCACACCCTGCGCAACAGTTGATCTGAATAACTCTCCAATCAACTCTGGAGAAACTGTGACATTCAGCTAAAATGTTTTGGTAAAAGTGAAACGACAGCAGAAGAATCAGAAACTGCTTCAATCTAATATGATTTCAGAATCATTTTATGCTTTTAAGGACGCCATTTTTTAAGATTTCATCCAGTCTGATCAGATTACCTCTGAACAACTGTGCCCTGATGCTTGGAAACTGGGTCGAGTTATGAAGTATCTGTCATTACATTATCAGTGGGTTTGCTGAGGGCTGGTTGCGATCATGGTCAATCACATCAGCTCCTGTAATGTGCTTACAGTCTGACAATGATGCAGACAGTCAGGAGGTAGAGAGTGCAATATGTTGCTGAAGGCAGATGGATTGTTTTCAATTAAATTCACAATTGTGGACTTATTTTAAGTCATTTAGTTGCTTTTTCATGAGTTTGTGCGACAATATCACCACCAGGATAGAAACAGCAGTGTGCGTAAAGGGAGACTTTGGTATTTTTCAACCTGGACCATAATTCCCCTTTCTTTTCCATCTGAATGACTTATGTGAACAACAATTTTTGAAATTGGTCCAGTAAGGCTCTGCAGCCAGCTGCGGTGAGACAGGCTGTAACGTAATCCCTGTGGGCATTTCAGCACTGTCAATATACGTCCACTTGAAGTGTTTGTTTTTGCCACTGACAGGCTCAGATTGTTATTCTAAGTGTCAACATTATGGACAAGATCCCTACAGAGGTCGACCTTTTTGTTAAAGAGAAACATCCTTTTTGTTTGACAAGAAATAGCCCCAAAATCCCTATCACCAAACCCACCAGACTCCATTTAAATAAACAGTAATTTTGTCCTTGTAAAACACGCTTCATTCAAAGTCAACAGAAACAAAATATAACTCCAAAAAGCTGTCTTGGTTTGTCTCCACTCTTTCAACAATCACCAACTCTGGGTTTGCTGAAACATTTAATTTACCCAGTTAGCTGTGAAAATAGGTTGGCTCTATACATGCTTAAATTACGGTTTACTTAATGGAGTTTGGTGTGTTTGGCGATGCCGATTTCAGGGTTTCTGGTCAAACAAAAAGGATATTATTCTTTAACCAAAAGGTCCATCTCTGTTGGGATTCTTTTCATAATGTTGTCAGACACTTAGGGCCAGTCCCAATACCCCCCCTAGCAGTACCCCTTAGCCCTACCCCTACATTTGCGTGTTGAAACTAGCCCTTCGGAGCGAGGGATTTCAGATGCCAGCGAGGGGTAGACGTTGCCATGGCTACCACCAAGCAAGAGACGGGGGAAAAAAGTTCATACATAGCTAACGTTACCGTCGTCAGGTTGCTTGTTAGCTAGCTAGCTAGCTTGCACTATCTTGCGTCTGTCATTTGTCCTGTTCTGCAAAATTGTCTGATTTTTCACATTACGATAACACACCAGCTAGTATAACTATGCTGCCTCGTAATGTTAGCTGGTTAGCTAGCTATCTAGCTAGCAGAAGTCCCCTGTCGTCTGTCATGATTAATGCAAATGCGATCGGTAGGATGAACTCAACTGGAGACTCCATTGTAGATGTCGGATGGAAATGTAGATGGCTCACAGCTTCCTGTTTAAAATAGTTATGTATGCGTGAACGTAACTGACGCGGTGACGTAGTGAGTGGTCTCCCAATTCCTAGGGAAAGATTTCAACCCCTATCCCTCTTTGCTTCATTTTGAGGGCCAAGGGGTAGTAGGCAAGGGCTAGGGGTAGGGCCGAGGGCTAAGGGGTAGTGGACAATTAAGGGGGGACCTTATAATAATAATCCGAGCCGGTCGGTGGCAAAAACAAACACTTTTAGCGGATGTAAATTTACGTTTTTCTATTACATCGCAGCCTGTTTTGCCACTCAATACTGGAACAGTTTTAAAAACTGGCATCTCCATTAGTCACTTAAACACATTTTAAAATAGGGTCCAGGTTGAAAAATACAGACGTTACCCTTGAAGCTTTCACATAGTTGCATGAACTAACAAAAACAGTGGGGAAAAGGCTTCCCAGGAAAAACCAAGTCTAAGGAGATACTTCAAAGTGCTCCATATGTGCACAAACACAGACAATGGTTATGGCAAGAGGAAAGCTTAATGTAATGTTACTGTAACAGGCTGCAATGTGGAGTCCCTGGACTTAACAGTTTTATACCACTAATGTTACCAGAAGCCTGTATATGAGACGTTTAGGGTACATCGGTAGATTCTACTGATATCCCTATTCCACTAAAATTAGCGCAATTACGTGGGGTTTTAACCTACTAAAAGGAAGCTATAGATTCCTTTACCATTGCCAGTAGACCAATGTGGTGTAGGCGGCTCTGCAGCAGACACGTGTGCCTCTCTGTGCAAGTGTGCGTGGTTTTTTGGTCTGTCACATTCAACGTCCCAGACAGGCCAGAAACAGCTCAGTGAAAACTTTACACTTGTTACACATCTTTTACTTATTCAGTTTCGCTTTCAAACTTGGTGATGACTAATTTGGATTGATGACTGAGCGCTGCTTAGGTGGAAACGGGCGGTATTTTGTGGTGGTGCATCACTGCATCTCGCCAGTAAAGGAGCTAAAATTGTGTTGTGTTCCAATTGTCAATCAGAGCCGGAGGTGATTATATAATACCCATGACCCAGGTGTGAATGCCAATTAAAACCTTTCCCACAACATTAAAAAGCCAGATATTAGCAGGTGTTATTGGGTGTTTTTTTTGTGTGTGCGGTGGCAATGGGGCTTAAAAGTCATGTGTTTAAGGCACATCTGTAATTTGTAGTTACACAAAATAAACTGGATTACTTTTTTGTTTCTACTAAATTTTATTAAAAGTTCAGAGGGTAACTTGTAAAAAATAACCTTTTACCACAGGTTGCAGTCTAGAGCTTTTCATTCTAGAAGTGCAGAAAGGCTGATTGAAAATCATAAAAATGTTCACTTCAAGAATCAATGGACACTGCAACATGCAAGCTGCTGAAGTCAGATGCTGCCGTGCTGCCATATTTAATACAACCTGAATAAATCTGTATTTCTGCCCTGCGTTCAGATGCGTCAGGAAACACTTACAGTATTGACTGTTGAATTTGATGCGTGCATGTCAATTGAATCTTTCCCATGTAAACCCATGTGGCTGTTTATCAGTGGCATCTCTTCCTTGGAGCTCTCACAGAGCCTTCTGTTTGAGTTGAAATTCAAATGTCACACATTTGAATTTTATGTCTCCCTTTAGCTCATTCTGCTTCAATGCCAGAGTAGATGTCATGTTCTCGGGGAGGATTAAAGCTCCTTTAGAGGTGGTTTCTTCCTCAATCAAAACCAATACAAATGCAGCGCTTTGATTACTTGTATCAAACAGAAAAATACCTTTATCTCATATTAAAGAATATGAAAATGATCCTCTTTGTGTGATTCCACCAAAGTCCTCATCACCTGCTCTCCTTTTATGTTGCCCTACCAGATGGTTTCATTCTGCTTTCCGCCTCTCTGCTCATCTCCTCTTCCTATTTTGCTTACTCACGCCGACCCTCTTTTCTCTCATGCCCTCGATGTGGCCCATTTTCCTCTCTTCTGTCTGCCTCCCCCTCGGCCACAGTCGACACCAGCTCTCATTATCACTGATGGCTGATGGTGTTTGGCTACTCTCCGGGGCACGTCCGCTTCACATTTGCAGGAGCAGTGAAGCGGTAATATACAATGCACACGCTTGCACTCAGAGCCCCGCAGAGCGCCTTGTTTCTCACCGCATGATGAAGTCGGCCTGGTCGATGTCCTGTCCACATTTGCTGTGCCGGAGAATGCCACCGTTGCCCACCACTGCACACTTCTTCAGGGGCAGCTGCAGGGGGTTGTCCTGTGCAGAAGAAAGCAGCTCTGTTAGCACAAACATCTGGACAGAAACACAAGCTATAAACAGATCATCTTTTTCTGTCAACACAGATCCCCAAATTGAGGCAGTTGCACAAATCACCCTTTAGTCAGCAAAGGGCAGGGGTCTCATTTATAAAATAATGCGTAGGATCCATACTAAAAATGTACGTATGGACAAAAGCCAAAAGTGGTGCGTGCCAAAAATATTCGACAATTTCTACAACCAGGCTTTTACCTCACCACCTGTATCGCTAATTTCCCATCTTCAAAATGTTCGTAAGCATGGGTCAAATTTTCTCCCATCAGGTCTGTTTTCATACATCACAACTTTTGCGTGGGAAGTGGCGCACGCCTCTTTTAGGCCTTGTTTTGGGCAATGTTTATAAATGAGACCCCAGGACTTTGGCCTCCTGCTGAACTTCCTCACAGCCTCGAGTACTGATGGAGTGGAGACAGAAAGTGAGGAAGTGGACAAAAGTCAGTTGAGCTTATGTGTGACTCAGATTCCATTTCCATTGCCAAGTCCATATTACACTCAGCAGATGAGGGCTAGGCGAGGAAAATCAAATATAACAATATTTTCAATCAATATTGCAATGACACTGTTGAGTTGATAATTGGTGCTTTCACATGATATTAACACAAGAGATTGTTGGGAATTAATCATCAGTAAAGTGTATATAATGACTAACTGGATAAAGACAAATGGTAGAAGAGTCTGGTCAGTTTAGAAAACTACATCACTTAATTGTAATGCAGCTTTTACAAGCAGAAAAATACAACAAAGACCAAAGACAATATTTTACTATATAATGACTGTGTGTGTGTGTGTGTGTCTGTTCCACATTTTTCTCCTCACTGACTTGGTCAATCCATGTGAAATTTGGCACAGTGGTAGAGGGTCATGAGAGGATGCGAATGAAGCAATATTACATCAGTTGGCCAAAGGGGGGCGCTATAGCAACCGATTGAAATTGCAAAATTTGAATGGGCATGAAACTTTGCACAGAGATGCTTCTCCTCGTGAGGAACAAATTTGCCTCAAGAACCCATAACTTCTGGTTACATAGATTTTCCACCATTTTGAATTTTTTGAAAAACACTTAAAATCGATCTCTTCCTGGGAAGTTTGACCGATCTGCATGAAACTCAGTGAACATAATCTAGGGACCAATATCTAAAGTTCCCTCTTGGCAAAAGTTGGAAAACTTACTAAAACTGAGCGTCTATAAGGCAATGAATATTGCGGAGGGCGTGGCTCATCACATAAAGGTGTATAACATCTCAAGGGTTTCACCGATCACGCAACTTTGTAGGCATATGACCACACATAATCTGAGTGGACCCCCCCAATATTGACCCCATCAAACAAAATAGGGGCGCTAGAGAGCTAATTTCTTATCTAGGCCTAAGCGCCATATCGATTTTTACTAAACTTGGTAGATATGTAGAACAGGACGCCTCAAGGTGACTGGAGAAATTTAACTCTAATTGGCAACTGGGTGGCGCTATAACAACAGAAAAATGCTTAAAAATGGCTAAAATGCGACTGATCGCTGTGGCTCCCCCTGTGGACCAATGTTGTTGTTTTTTTTCTAATTTTTGGTATGACTAAGTCATGGTATGGTATGCTGTACATAATCGCGGAAACTGTCAGTGTGTCATTCTGTCAGTCAGTCATTCTGTCTGTCCCACATTTTTCTACTCACCGACGTGGTCAATCTATGTGAAACTGCACATAGGCATTGAGGATTGAGGATTGGCAAACTGAGATTAAACAGGATTTCAGACTTGAAAGGTTTCTGTAAAGATGCTCCAGGACATCTTGAGAGCACGCGAGTATTTAATTTAACATGGAATTTTGACACACATTTTACTTTTAACAAATACTGTGTCTCCTGCGATTTGAAAATTGCAGCAGGCAAATTGTTCAGCCTCTTTTCAGGCTAATTACTTGAACTGTTTATTCATGACTTTGTAGACGTCTCTACTAGCTTGCTAACTGTTTTTTCACACTCTCACTGACACGACATGGTGTTACAGTTGACCCAAATATGTGGGGTTTTTTTTTAACTAATTTGTATTTTCTGAAATTAGTTGAGCTCCTCCACAGTGTCTCCAAATACACCCTGGCAGCTGCAGAAGTACCCACTGGGGTACAAGTAACCTCTGGGGAGGGCTATCGCTGCCCTATCATCATCTAAATTAAAGCTCTGTATAAGACAGTACACTGAAATACCATGCTCTGTGAGGCAAGGGCCAAAAATGTCCTTTCTCTTTTGCCTTGGCTGCGTTTAAGTCTGAGGCATGGATTAAACGCGATGGCGGAAACAATTGTGCTCATTATTCCCCTTGGAGTGCACACACTTGAGAATATACGCACGCACACGCACACGCACGCACGCGCGCGCACACACACACACACACACACACACACACACACACACACACACACACACACACACACACACCTCCTTGCCTCAGGGTCTCTTTTAGACCATGACAGGGGGTTGAGTCAGAGGACAATACCCGGCTAACAGCACATCAAGCAGGGGAGGGGAACCAGCAAGTTGGGCTAAAAATGTGAGAGGGGGGCACTTATTACAGTCGCACATGGCTCATCTATTTCTGGAAAGTTATTAACCCAACATCTTATAGGATTTTGGTTTGGTTGTTCATTATGTCGCAGGGCCACAACTGAAGACCATTTCAATTGATTTCAATGATACAGATTGTTTTTTTTCATTCATGTTTTGGTCCATAAAATACCAGACATTGGTGGAACAGTACCCATCACAATTCTTGTTTTGTCTGACCAACAGCCTGCAGCCAGAACATTTCATGATACCATGATGTTACACAGAAAAGAAGCTGTAACCAGCTGCTGTTTGGATTTACAGTTCAGTTTTTCAGTACTGGATTCATAAAATAAAACTCAAATGTATGTGTTTTCATGAGATTCGGGGATAAACAACAACATACTGTGCACCAATTTCTCATCTAAACACTGATATCAGCCAATATTCCCCTTGTTGCTTGCCATCAGTCCGTAAATAAGACATTCAACGATGATATTCTGTTCTGTTACATCAATTTTGCGCAGGCTAAAATGCAGGGCTCGAGACTAATGGTGTGCCGTCATCCTGGGGACAAGAGAAAAGTGTTTGGGATGAAGAGAGATCTCCCCCAGGACACCTTCTGGGCAAAAGGAAGCCGTAAATTTACTACTGACACTTCCTGTTGTTTTCCTGATAATGCTACATTGTGAACAACAAATCTGTGTTGGAATCAGCAGGAGGAGAGCTAGTAAATGTTAGTTGTTAGTAACCAGTGGCTGGAACTAAAAGGTACTGGAGTTTGCACTCAATTATATTATGATACGTTCATGCTTTGTTCAGTAACAATTAAGTATTGGGGTGAAGGTAAATTTGAATGTTATCATGGAGTGTTCAAATGTAATCTTGTAATATAGTTTGAAGCTGTCTGAAGAAGAAATTTGTTGATATTTTCACAGGGATATAAAATAGATCTTAGAGACAGAATTGTGACATTTTTTATATCGTGAAAAGGCTTTTAAAGCTAATATTTGTTTAAAAATGTTTTTCATCATCATCAGTCTATCGGTAAATTGGACATTCACTGATGTTTTTCTGCTGTGTCACATCAATTTAGCACAGGCTAAAAAGCAGGGCTTGAGACTAATGGCTTGCTGTCGCCCCAAGTACCAAGAGAGAAAGTGTTTGAGATGGACAGAAATCTCACCCTTGGACACCTTTGGGACGAAAGGACGCAGTAAACATTAGGGGACGCACTTTAAAAACAAGAACAACAAAATAAACAACAACAACCACACAAAAAACACCTGTACTGCCAAATGATTGTTATAAACGTTGGTGAAGTTATTGGCCTAGAATTTCACAATCAGTGCATCCTCAGAAACTGTCACACTTTTGAAGATGCTGAAAAGAAGAGATCATGTGAATCTGCCGTACAGTCTAGTGGACTGTTTGTACGGACACTCTGTTTGAGCCATTGAACTAACCAGCAATTAACTGTCAAAGCCCTAATTGGCACATTCCCTGGCAGATGCCCAGATACTGTAGCCGTTCCCAGCTTGGTGTAGCGTGGCTGGTTGTCTGTGTTCAAACCTGCAATCACCACAGTGGTAGTTGAGAAGACAGAGAATATATAAGTGTGTGTGTGAGCTTGTGCTTCGTCCATCCCACTTAACTACTACTTCCTTTCATTCTGAGAAGCACACGTACAACTGGCCACAGTATAGGTTTGCAGAGGAAATGCAACCACATTAACAATAGATCATGCATGCAAACAAGGAGTCTCACAAACACAAAGTTGAACTCTGCGGCAGAGTGTCACCATAACCTCGGGCGGAGTGAAGTATTGGAGTCTGACATTTAGCAACACAATATCAGCTATGTCCCAGTGACAAAGAGAAGTGAGAAGACTGCACACAGTGTAATGAAGTTCTATGATTTATTTTAAAGGGTCAGTTCACCCAGTTCACTGTTGTACTCAAAGTACAACAAGTGTTTTTAGACCAAGGAAGTTTTTCATAATTCCTTTTTTAATTCAGGGTGTTTTTACATTTTCCTACAAAGGTAATGCACCAAAATTCATACGTATCCCACGTAATGATGAGCCAGTAATTCGTGCTTAACCAATGTACTTTGGAAGGCAGTTAGGCAATGCGCTAACTGGAGTAAAGAAGGAGACAGTCCTGAGTGGTCCACTTAGGCCTTGTTCACACGATACCAATACAAACTAGAAAAGCACTCAGAGATTGCAGACCTCCGCCAAAAAGGTGACATTCCCTCCCCCTCTGCATCAGATTTTGCAGCCTGCATCACAATTAGGTTATTTGCATCACTATCATTATTAGGTTATATATGCCTTCACCATGGAGACACTGTGGTGAATTTATTTCGTTTTAATTTTGTACCAACACAGAATATAATATGTTTTTTGTATTTTTCACTTTCTTTTTTTCCAACACCGAACATTAATTTCAACCTTAGGATTACAACAATATTTAGCAAGCAGAACAAGACGTGCTTTCTGGCCACCAGATGGTGCTATTTTCACTGTCTCATTAGAAATTGGAATTGCTGCTGAGGCTGTCAGACGATAGACTTTATTTATTATTTTATCCACTTTGCTTCAACCGATCACCACCAAACTATCATCTGTTCCTTGTCCCATTATCCACCTTTCCTGAAAATTTCATCAAAATCCGTTTATAACTTTTTGAGTTATTTTGCAGACAAACAAACAGACAGACAAACATACCAACGCCGGCGAAAACATAACCTCCTTGGCGGAGGTAACAAAAACATATTTTTATTTATCCTGTATTTAAAAAAATTCAGCTGTGAAAATGATATCCCTGTTTCCACAAAAAAGAAGCTTTTTGCTGCAATTACCATGCCAGGCCAGTAGATGGCACTACACCTTAATGTCAAACACCATAGAAGAACATTCTGTGCATGCACAGTGATTTGTTTTCCTCTTGACACTAGTGATAAAAAAAAAAAAGATAAACTACATTTTAACCTTACGTAGCATAGTTAGCTGCTATGCACTTAATAATATTGGGCACAGCAGACATCTTTGTGCGCCAATGTAGCAGTGATGTTGATGCAGCAGTGCTAAGTTCATTTGTAAGCTCGTAAGTAGTCCCAAAAGTGCTAACAAAACGTTCCTGGGCACCTAGTGGGCATGCGCAAACTGGGTTGCAACGTAATCGTTTTCCAAAATCTTTGTCTATCCTGTTTACACGTCTCCATAGAAACAGATATTTTTAAAAACTTTCACTTTGGAAGCCTTTTTCGTAATATTATCACTTATCGCAATAATTTCTGATACAATTAATCGCCCAGCAAAATTTGTTATCATGACAGGCCTAGGTAACATTAGCCATCTGATGCTAGCAATTAGTCCTGTCACTGTGTGTGTGTACTGGGCAGGCGGACACTCAACATCCCTGGTGTGAAGCTCACACTCCTGCAGCAGTAGTGACATGATAGATGATCATGAGAGAAAGCGGAGCAATGAGGCACTGGGCGAAGTAAAACACTATGCACAGTTCTACAATTAAATGGCATTTTACCCATTTTAAATAGTACAAAAAAAAATTGAAAGTATATTTAAGAATGCTTGAGGTGATTGGCTGCAAGCACAACCATACAAATAGTCATTTTATTTTAGATCTGGGTACAAAAAGGATCAAATGCAGGTATTGTTTCACTGGAGAAGTTTGTTGCTACTTGATACATAAAATGTCACAAAAAAACAAAATAAAAGTGCTGTTTTCAAATTGCTTGTTTCGTCCAACCTGCACTCCAAAATATCCCAGTCCCAAATATTTAGTTTACAATCATATAAAACAGAGAAGAGGAGCAAATATTCACATTTAGGGATGTTGGATGCAGCAAACCTTTGGCGTTGTTGCTTGAAAATGATCAATAATTAACATAATGTGGTAGCTCTTATTTGGGTGAACCGGTGTGTTCTGAATTTAGTGCGCATACACTTATTACCAATAAAGTGGTGTGTGAAAACATAAAACTCTGGGGTTAACACCCCGCGCTGCACATTCATGCATGTACACCCACACTGTGGCTGAGCTCAGCCGTCTCTCGCTTCATATTCTCATTTCTTTATTTATTCACCTCCCCCATTCCTCATGAATGAACATGCACTGCTCACGACTGCAAATTAGGGTCACATAATATTCATCGCATTTACCAACCAGGACATGAGGCTGCAAATCTGTGGCATCAGTAATAAGGATCCAATTCTCGTTATTAGTGAGATGTATTGCCCCTGGATACAAAAACCACGGCAACAGCACTCGCACCAGAGGTTCTCATTTTGTCCTGTTTCCTGGCACAAACACTCTCATCCACATGCGCACCCACACACAGACATGAAGCCAAGTAAAAATAGCCCTTATCTCGATACAGACACATGCACAGGAGCATAAATACACACTCTGGGTCCATTTTTGCACCATACGGCATGCTTTACATGGAAAATAAAAGGGGAAATAACTTGGTAGGGAGAGAGCTTGAGGCACATCCTCCTCCAGTTTGTACCCATGGTTTAAACATCCCCATCTTAGATTAGACTGAAGTGGAAAAATAACACGACAGGACACATAAACAAGAAGCAGGAGCCTCATTTAATGCAGAAAAACTCTTCAACCTGTCCTTATCTGCGCCTCTCAAGTTGTAAAACATCCTGTCGCTATAGAAACAAAAGTGAAAGATGCATTAATTGTGAAGTTTAATGCAAAAGTCAGAGTAAAAAGCGAGAATGAAAGATGTTCTGATATACTCGTATACTGTGTCTTGTTGCTCTAACCGGCCTCCACATCTTAATATTGACTTCCCTCACGCTGCAGAACACTACACCAGCAATCCTGTCTCCTTCAGAGGGTGTCTGTCTACTCCACCGCCCCCACTCCCCGCCTCCATTATGGATCAACGAGGATCCGCATTAAAACCCACAGTCCCCACAATAGTGTCAAATTGCGCTGAGTGGGAGAAAAAACACTTTCCATCATCTGCTCTTTAAGAACACAGCTGCCTGTCTCAAAGTCGTGTGTTGGGGTAAAGAGGATTGTGGCTCCGTGAAGGGAAAGTCAGCCGTTCTTCTTCTATCAGATGTTATTACTATGATAGCATACCTGCACAAAGAGCGGGTAGGTCTCATTGTTGACGGTGTGCGAGTGGTAAAACTCGCCATCGTACCACAGGACCTTGCCCATCGGCGAGTTCTCCTTGGTCACTGCGAACATCCTCCGAGGATCGCAGCATTCTGTCAGCAGCTTCCTGTGCAGAGAAAACATGGGAAATAATAAGATCTGGTATCTGGACAGTTTCACACAGATTGGATTCAAAAAGACGGCTGGGAGTCTGGCAGTGGCACTCCCTGAATCTTTAATTCGAAGGAGTACATTAAAGGACCAGAACATTTACTGGGAAGAAGCCTTTGCATGTTTTGGGAAAACCTGTAGGGACCCAAAAACCAACTTTCATTCAGGTATCTTGAGGGGAAAATTCAAGGGTCCCCTTTGAAAACGGCAATGACAGTTGTTCCTTTGCCAAAATTTAGCCTAACTTAGCTTAACTTAGCATTTTTAGGAATGTCAGTTTCGGGTAATTTTACTTTTGACAGCCCAACATCCATTAACTGGTAACCAATCAATTTCTTTTAGAGTAAAGGACGCAAAATGAAGCCTTTTGGTCCAGTGCTACATCGACTCAGTGAGCTTTAGCGCTGCATTTGAAAGCGCTATCTAATTGGAGGTGGTGAAATTTAAATGTTTTGTGATATAACAATCTTTCCTTTTGTTTTAATTTCTGCTGGCTTTGCTGACAGAAGGGTGGCTGGCTGTGTTAACATGCAGAAACACAGAACTCTCTGCACACCCTCTTGTCTACACTGGTTAGCTAACATTAGCCTTGGCTGCTCTGCATTGCACACCAGCTAGGTTGGGTGGGAGCTAGCTAGCGGCACCGCTCATTCTGGATTACAGCTGTTTATGGCGTCCTGCGAAAACATGGTAGCCACCCTCCAGTCCCTCTCCCAAGTTCGCCCTGGTCAATAATTGTCTTAATTTTGACCCCTTTAGCATTGTTAGCACTACTACCCATGCTGACACTGCTAATGTTGCTAACAGAGGTAACATAGGCCAAGTTAACAATGCTAAAGGAGGTTTGCTCCTCAAAATTAAGGGGAACTGCCCATTGGTCCGACAGCCCATTGTTCCGAACATATTAAACCCATTGTTCCGAAGTCAGTTCCGAAATCATCATGATGCCCTGTGGTTAAGGTCTGGTTAGGTGTAGGCACAAAAACCACTTGGTTAGGGTAAGGAAAAGATCATGGTGTGGGTTAAAATGAAAAAGAAAGTGACAGACACGTAAACTGTGAGCCTGCTTCACCTCAAGCCTTTCCCAGCTGACCCAGAGTCGGTCGCGGCGCACCATCAAGGCAGAAATATGCCCGCCAGGAGCCATTCAGCACTGCCGACCATCGGACTAATGGGATGTTGGACCAATGGGTTGTCAGACCAATGACATGGACCCAAATTAAGCCACTTATTCACCATCTCAAGAGAGACAAGAGGGTGGGCACAATGTTTCCAAACCAATGCTGTTGGAGCTGCTGGCCTAAGTAACATTAGCTCCCACCAGACCTGGATGGTGTGCAGTAGATTAGCATGTGTAATTGGTCAAAATTATTCTCTGAGGTTAACCAGTTAAAAGGGTACTTCACCGACTTTTAACCAGCTTTCTATCATAATAATATGGGTCGTATATTTATCTAACCAGTACCTAGATATCCCCACTCCCCACTCACCTGGCAGAGTTTCACTGGCTCTCGGGGGCTGTTGCTCGAACCACAGGCTGTACTTCTGCATTATCATATTGCCCGCCACCCATGCCACCACCACCACCAAGAGTACAGAAACGGATTGAGAGAGAAACCCACAACTTATCAAATATAAACCAAGATTCTGTTACCACACTGCCTATTTCACGGCTAAAATGTTCTTTCGGAACATATTTTAGTGCTGTGTTTAGCTGCAGTAACATGAGTTTTTGAACCGGACGTGGGCGCCAACCAATATCCTGTCACTGAATTCCCATGTCAAAAATTTGATACGATTTTCCCATTGGATTTTGGATTACTGCTGAAATAAACACTGTGGCGAACAAATACTGAACACCACTTTGATTTTTGAAGCCTAAATGCTATCACCAGAAGTAAAAAGCTAATGTTAGCCTACAAGCAAATTACACTGTGATCGCATGACATAACGTACCCCCTGTAAAGCCATGTTCGGTGTGATGATATTTTGTAGTCTGGTTTAGCCACTTGTTAGCAACTGACCTTTTTAAGACACATAAAACTTTTAGAAATTATGAGTGGTATTTATTGACGATTTTATGTTGTAAAACAAATCATGAACGTCTTGTAAGCTTGGATTAACCACAGACCTTAGATCAGGCATCTAACCAAAAACCAGTTCACAAAACCCATTGACTTCTATACAAGGTAAGTGGGAATAGAAAAACGCTAACTCATTTCCTGAAGTTTTAGGGCATCTTTAATGGTCAACCGTTGACATCCCTAAGCTTTATTTAGCCTTGTCTGGTGTCCAGTTTCACAATGGACCACTAACTTCATGCCAACTTACAAAAGGAGCGCGCCATAGATTTTTCTAAAGACAGTAATGTTGGCCTCTTATTATTTTTGCTAAGGGGGCAGCAACTGTATTTGGGGGGCCAGGGCCCACTAGGGATGCACCGATCCGATATCTGGATCGAATATCGGCCCTGATATAATCAAAATAGATGGATCGGGTATCGGAAAATGCAACCTATACCCGAGGCGATCCTTTCCCTTTAAATGTATTGCGACGCGAGTTATGTACGTCATGGAGCGAAGGAGAGAATGTGCCATGTTGAGGTATTTCACACTATTTCAACTGCTGTTGCACAATTGTTTATTTTTGTTAAAAATCAATAGTTCATCATTGCATTGATCTGTTTCATCTTGTTTCATTTTATCTTAGTAAAGAACTGTGTAGTCATCAATGCCTGATGCCTCTCGTCTTTTCTGTTCTACGTGTAGAGGTATATAGCTTTTTAGGTCAACCATGGTATCGGATCGGTATCGGGTATCGGCTGATACTCAAAGCAACAGCTTCGGAATCGGTATCGAAACTGAAAAAGCTGGATCGGTGCATCTCTAGGGCCCGCTCTTGGAGGCACCACTGGATTCTGATAAAAGACGGGCTATAATAGAGCCAGAGTAAAATGTGTGAACTGTATAAATGACAGGACAAATCACAGATCAGAGAAAATGATCACATATTTTAGGTTACAGATAAATGCCTGAGAGGTCAATAGTTGGGGCTGCCCTCAGCACTTTAACTCACTATTTAATCCTAGCAATCTACTGGACCAAACAGAAGCTGTATGACTTTAAAACCACAGCTCCAAGTGAGCATCACCCCCTCCCTGTAGGCCCTGCTGTCCGCTGCTCTGCAGGTATCACCTTCTTTCATTACCCTAATCGGCTTTGCCTCGGAGAATTGTCTGCACATATTCTTAACTAAATAAGATTTTACCCAGGCTGCCCACGGTGTGACAAACACGCCCTTTTGATCTGGTTTGCCTGTTTAAAAAACCTGCAAATGAAGGACCCACATGGTCTGTGTGGCACTTAATAAAGAGCGTCTGTGATGCTTGTATCTCCTGTAATGTCTCTCCAAAGCTCTGACAAATTCAATTGGTTATCCATTACAATCTCATCACAATGACATTATGTCCATATGTTCAGGGAGTCCAGATACAGACAAAGGAGGTCACAGGCACCACCACTGAGTGCCAGGAACCCTATGCTCTATAGGGGATGCAGGGGGAGACAAGCATAAACAAAAAGGGATATTAGTGCACATTGCGTTCTGGCTTTCTGCAATGTATGGGGTTTATAGTGAGGAGCAGACTTGTGCACTGCTGTGTGCACCGGGCCTCACTTTGGGAAACACTGCTGTAAGGCAACAGAGAGAAATCTGAGACCTGAGACGAACCTGTACAAATCGATGCCCGTCTGGTTCTTCTGCCACACTTCCCCCTGCCTCAGCACCTCTTCCACTATCTCCTTATCGCGGGGGAGTCTGTAGACGGGGAAAATGTAAAACCAGCAAAGCACCAGCACGCACAGAGCGGCCCACACCGACAGCTTGCCCCGGTAGCATCGCACCAACATCTTGTCTTAATGCTCAAAGCAGCCGGTGCATGCACATCAACCCCCCCGGTGCAGTGAAGCGGTTCAAAGCTGCTCTCTGCGTCCCGCCGCAAATCCCCGTCTCATCCCGCAGACGGGGCGGAGTATGAATGGAGCCTGCAAGGTAAGCTGCTACCCGGTTGTTTGGGTCAAGCTTCGGTGTGGGGATCCTGTGATGCGTCGGTGAGGCTCTGATGGAGAGAAGCGAGCAAGTCTGACCGGGCAGCAGCAGCTCACACTCGGTTGCGGGGTTGTGGTGCAGTGTGTCTGCAGGAATCCGCCGCTCTGCTGTCGGTGCATCACCACCATCGTTACAGCCGGACTGAGAGGAATCATACGGGCCCCCCTCCCCGCCCGGTGTCCCTCTGTATCCAAATTACCACAAGGTGTCTCCGTGGGTGTCCGATCTGGTCCACGTTGGTCCTGTGTCTCCCGCCCTCCGGTGCTCTCCTCTCCTTGGGGCCTCCGCTGTCCTCGTCCTGCTGCGGGGTCTGCGGTGCAAGTGATCACCGGGCCAGTTCAATTCAGTCTCCCTCCACCTCCCCCCTCTTTCTCCTGTCAACACCCCCTCCACCGAGACAAAGTGCCTCTTGTGCTGCTGGAGAAAGCAGGGGAGAGAGCGGAAACACGCCTTCACAATAAAAGCATGCAGACATTCTCCCACAAGGACACGTCTTAACCTCCCGAGACCTGAACTTATGTTTGGTGTGCATTTTAATTTCTCCTTGCTATTTGGGATCAGTAGTATCCAATAAGTATAAAAAACTAAACATTGTCAACGACAATAAAGTCCCAATGTCCTCAAATGAGGAGACAGTAAAGTCCCAACGTCCTCAGACGAGACGACAATAAAGTCCTAACGTCCTCAAATGAGACAATAAAGTCAAAATGTCCTCAAATGAGACAACAATAAAGTCCCAATGTCCTCAAAGGAGACGACAATAAAGTCAAAATGTCCTCAAACGAGACAATAAAGTCCCAATGTCCTCAAACGAGGCGACAATAAAGTCCCAATGTTGTCAAATGAGACAATAAAGTCAAAATGTCCTCAAATGAGACAACATTAAAGTCCAAGTGTCCTCAAACAAGACAATAAAATCAAAATGTCCTCAAACGAGACGACAAAGTCCCAACGTCGTCGAATGAGACAATAAAGTCAAAATATCCTCAAATGAGACAACAATAAAGTCCCAACGTCCTCAAATGAGACAACAATAAAGTCCCAATGTCCTCAAATGAGACAATAGAGTCCCAATGTCCTCAAATGAGACAATAGAGTCCCAATGTCCTCAAATGAGACGACAATAAAGTCCCAATGTCCTCAAACGAGATGACAATAAGGTCCTAATGTCCTCAAATGAGACAACAATAAAGTCCCAATTTCCTCAAACAAGATGACAATAAAGTCCCAATGTCCTCAAATGAGACAACAATAAAGTCCCAATGTCCTCAAATGAGACAACAATAAAGTCCCAATGTCCTCAAATGAGACAATAGAGTCCCAATGTCCTCAAATGAGACGACAATAAAGTCCCAATGTCCTCAAACGAGATGACAATAAGGTCCCAATGTCCTCAAATGAGACGACAATAAAGTCACAATGTCCTCAAATGAGACAATAGAGTCCCAATGTCCTCAAACGAAACGACAATAAGGTCCCAATGTCCTCAAATGAGACAATAGAGTCCCAGTGTCCTCAAACGAAACGACAATTAAGTCCCAATGTCTTCCTTCCTTCCTTCCTTCCTTCCTAAAAGGGTCCTTTTACATTATTTCATAAACCATCCACTGCAAAAGTGACACTAACATGATGGCAGTGCCTCTCCATGTATTGTTTTTATTTGTATCTGGATGTCTTATAGCTCATTGGCTCATCACCCACATTAAAAACAATTTGCCAAATTATACAGGCTTCAGTCCTCAGACAGCCCTCACTTTTTCGTTTTTCCACTTCGGAGCCCACTTTCAATTTGCTGTAACCCAGTCATTTAACACGGTATCTTATTTTGAAAGTCCTGCTTCACAGTCCTCTTCCCATTCCCGCTGGCTTCACACTGGCTGCTGCAAATAAAAGTGTCTTTCCTCGGCTACCCGCTAAGATGTGTGACATGAGGCGCTGCCGCCCCCTGCTGGACTCTGTCTGCACTGAATGAAGCAGACTTAAAAATGAATGATTGAGACGCGGCTGCAGCTGTCAGCCTCACCACACCCTAACTCCACACTGAAGTCGCCTTATGGTCCTATTTTCACCCAGACATATTCTGACAGTTTATCTTCTACGAAATTTAGCGGCCAAGTCACATTTTGCCTAAAATATTTAATTATTTTCTATCTTATTCTGATTTTCCTGCACACCTGCAGTTATAGTGCTGTGTAAAAGCACTATGTAAAACCTCTGCTACCCTCCTGTGGACAAAGTCAGTGCTCACCCTTCATTCTAGTTGCTGTATTTTCCATAAAATAAACATGTATATAGGTGGATGCATTTTTAGCAACTTTTTATGGCTGCCAGCTGTCCTTTCTCTCTGGTTTCATCTTTGTGAGTGATAATTGGTATCCTTAATGACGTGTTTATGAGGGCAGAAAATAGTTAACTCTTTGAAGAGACCATAGGAATCTTTACAATGAAATTCTTGTACCAAGGCACTCTCACTTTAAAACCTGAAATCTTAAGTTAGAATGTGGAAATGGTATAAACATACAACCTAAATAGAAAAAAGGGAAGGAACTCTTACCATCTGCACTTCCTGACGAGTTGCAGGATTTAGATTTTAGGACACAATTAGACATGAGTGTAGATGCACGAAAAAGTGTAACTTGGTTTCTGTGTAAAATAGATTGCGAAAATCCAGCTGCATTAATTGAAATAGATTTGTCTCCCCCCACCAGCCCTCTTATGGAAATGCAACATGCTATGCCGATGCTTCAAGGTTCAGGGGTGCTTCTATCTCCTCTCAAAGGAGAAAAATGCCTTGGATTGTAAGCACGGACAGATTACTGTTTAAGCCTACCAGACACAGATCTAAGGGCCTAAAGTGTCTAAGGGTCCCCCACGCCTTCACTTGCAAAATGTCACTCAAACTAACACATACTGACCAGGAAGAGCTACAAAGTGACTACAATGAGATACAAGACAACCACAAGGAAGCATAAATTGTCTACAAGAGGGCATAAAATGACGATGCAGAGACACAAAACAACCACAGGGAGACACAAAATGACTACAATGAGATGCAAAACAACCACAAGGAGATAAAAAAGAACTACACCGAGATGCAAAACAACCACAAGGAGGCATTAAATGGCTACAGACAGACACAAAACAACCACAAGGAGGCACAAATTATGACAGAGACACAAAACAATCACAAGGAGACATAAAGTGACCACAACGAGACACAAAACAACCACAAGGATGCATAAAATGACTACAAGGAGGCATATAATGACCACAAAGAGACACAAAACAACCACAAGGAGACACAAAACAACCACAAGGAGACACAAAACAACCACAAGGAGGCATAAAATGACTACAAGGAGGCATATAATGACCACAAAGAGACAAAATGACTACGAAGAGACATAAAACATCCACTTGGAGACACAAAATGACCACAAGGGGGCATGAATGACCACAAAGAGACACAAAACAACCACAAGGAGGCATAAAATGACTAAGACACAAAACAAGGACAAGGAGGCATAAAATGACTACAAAGAGACACAAAACAGCCACGAGGAGACATAAAGTGACCACAAGAAGGCATAAAATGACTACAAAGAGACACAAAACAACCACAAAGAGATGCAAAATGACTGCAATGAGATGCAAAACAACCACAGGGAGACACAAAATGACTACAATGAGATGCAAAACAACCACAAGGAGATAAAAAAGAACTACACCGAGATGCAAAACAACCACAAGGAGGCATTAAATGGCTACAGACAGACACAAAACAACCACAAGGAGGCACAAATTATGACAGAGACACAAAACAATCACAAGGAGACATAAAGTGACCACAACGAGACACAAAACAACCACAAGGATGCATAAAATGACTACAAGGAGGCATATAATGACCACAAAGAGACACAAAACAACCACAAGGAGACACAAAACAACCACAAGGAGACACAAAACAACCACAAGGAGGCATAAAATGACTACAAGGAGGCATATAATGACCACAAAGAGACAAAATGACTACGAAGAGACATAAAACATCCACTTGGAGACACAAAATGACCACAAGGGGGCATGAATGACCACAAAGAGACACAAAACAACCACAAGGAGGCATAAAATGACTAAGACACAAAACAAGGACAAGGAGGCATAAAATGACTACAAAGAGACACAAAACAGCCACGAGGAGACATAAAGTGACCACAAGAAGGCATAAAATGACTACAAAGAGACACAAAACAACCACAAAGAGATACAAAATGACTGCAATGAGATGCAAAACAACCACAAGGAGATGAAAAATGACTGCAAAGAGACACAAAACAACCACAAGAGGCATGAAATGACTACATAGAGACACAAAACAGCCCCAAGGAGACACAAAACAACAAAGAGATACAAAATGACTGCAATGTGATGCAAAACAACCACAAGGAGATGAAAAATGACTGCAAAGAGACACAAAACAACCACAAGAGGCATAAAATGACTACAGAGACACAAAACAGCCACAATGAGACACAAAACAACCACAAAGAGATGCAAAATGACTGCAAAGAGACACAAAACAACCACAAAGATATGCAAAATAACTACAAAGAGACACAAAACAACCACAAAGAGATGCAAAATGACTGCAATGAGATGCAAAACAACCACAAGGAGATGAAAAATGACTGCAAAGAGACACAAAACAACCACAAGAGGCATGAAATGACTACATAGAGACACAAAACAGCCCCAAGGAGACACAAAACAACAAAGAGATACAAAATGACTGCAATGTGATGCAAAACAACCACAAGGAGATGAAAAATGACTGCAAAGAGACACAAAACAACCACAAGAGGCATAAAATGACTACAGAGACACAAAACAGCCACAATGAGACACAAAACAACCACAAAGAGATGCAAAATGACTGCAAAGAGACACAAAACAACCACAAAGATATGCAAAATAACCACAAAGAGACACAAAACAACCACAAAGAGATGCAAAATGACTGCAATGAGATGCAAAACAACCACAAGGAGATGAAAAATGACTGCAAAGAGACACAAAACAACCACAAGAGGCATAAAATGACGACAAAGAGACACAAAACAGCCACAAGGAGACATAAAGTGACCACAAGAATGCAAAAAATGACTACAAAGAGACACAAAACAACCACAAAGAGATGCAAAATGACTACAAAGAGACACAAAACAACCACAAGAGGCATACAATGACTACAAAGAGACACAAAACAGCCCCAAGGAGACACAAAACAACCACAAAGAGATGCAAAATGACTGCAAAGAGACACAAAACAGCCACAAGAGGCATGAAATGACTACAAAGAGACACAAAACAACCACAAAGAGATGCAAAATGACTGCAATGAGATGCAAAA